ATATAAATACTGTTCAGTTTCTTGCACAGACCGATCGTTTTGTGTCTTTACACATCAATGTATCGTCACGAGCCTCAGGGTTTAATTTGGTTTTGTTTGTGTAAGTTTTTTTTTACTCTCAAAGCCGTGATTCCCATTCACTTCCATTATAAGACTGACAGACTGCAACGGTTTGAGTTAAAAATCTTCGTTTGTGTTCTACTGAAGAAACAAAGTCACCTACATCTCGGAAGCCCTGGGGGTGAGCAGATAAACATCAAATTTTCATTTTAGGGTGAACTATCCCTTTAACCACAACTGAGCAATCTTTAGCTCTAACATTAGAAGAGAAGCAGTTCTCATAATATTCGTCCTCTTCATCTCCAGGGCGGCCATCAGTAGAGATCCTTTCTACGAGATGCTGGCAGCGAGGAAGAAGAAGGTCTCCTCTATGAAGAGACACTAGAGCTGCTCAGGACGCTGGTGTTACAGATTCAGGGCTACTGGAACTGCTCCCCCTCGTGGAGACAGCTGAGCTGCGCAGAGAGAAAAACAACCCCAGCTTCAGAAAGGAACCAGACCGGATCAGCGGAAAAGCACCTCTTTCTAAACATCTTCTTGCTCGGCTCAAGTGTGCATGTGTGTGTGTGTGTGTTGGAAGGAAGTCAGTGGGCTTTTTACTTGCTGCTGCTTCCTTGAAACCCCCAAAGAGAACATTTTTCCTCACGCTTAACCAAAATACGCTTTGTCCTCTTTCTACGCCTCTCGTCTCTTGCACACGCGCACACTCTTGCGTTATCTGAAATCAGCAGGTCTGACAGAATGTGGAAAACCGAACGAAAGTTCCTACGCGCATCAGGAAAGGACGATTTCCTTCGTGCTGATGATATGTACAGGCAATAAGTGTATTTTTACTTCTTTTTTTTTTTTAACCGTGCACAAGCGGCTTAGTCCTCAGAGGTTTATTTGTGTATTTAATTGTAAAAACATTTTCCAAGAGACTTCTATAATTTGCAAAGGAAATCCAACTTTGTTGGGAGGGTGGGAAATCACCCTAGATTTGCTGGCAGATTGATTTGCCCCTAACGGTAAACGGCTCCACGGGCATTTGTTTATTTTCTTGAAATGCGACATGCGTGTTAAGCATGTTGTGAGAAGCTGCTGCAGTGCTTTGAATATTGGCCGCTGGGTTTGCAGTGTAACACGTAAGCAGAAAGACTGGATGGTGGCCAGCTAGGGATTATGGGATATCACCATTACCAGGATATCATGCATTGGTACTACCTCTCAGACAGACAAGACGGTAATTAGCATATTGTAATGTTTTTTTTTTGTTTTTTGTTTTTTACGTGAGGTCTTTTAACCTAGAGTGTTTGGACTTTCACATAAAATGCTTTTAATAAAATGAATAAATGTGCCTAATAACAATTCAAGTTCAGTGTCAGTAAAGACTGTCAATGGCAGGTTCAATCAGAAGATGCTTCAGTGCCTGCTTGCGTTTCTCCAGTCACCTTCCTTTCTTGGGTTTCCATCGGTCTAGCAGTTATTCTTGAAGCGAAATATTAAATCTAAGCAGCATCGGTTTAATTTATCAAAGATGTACATACTTTAGTGTATAGAGAATATTGGTTTCCATTTTATAAATGTGTGTACTGTATGTAGCAGTATTGTACTAGTCGAGTGCCATTTTCTTTCCTTTTTTATTTTTGTGTTCTGGAGGTCCATACCATTGTAGTGGTAGCCAGATCATGCTGAAATAAAGATATTATAGCAGCTGTGGTTGTGTTTTGCTTTTTGACTTTATCTGATTCAATCACATATAAGCGCTGAGATCAGAACAGCTGTTTCTTCTCAAAATGAGTAACAATTACTGACTAAAAAGAAAGGAAAAGCACAAAACGGAACAGATTTCTGTATACAATCTGTACGCAGTATCAAAGTAATACCGGTAGGTGGCAGCGTAACGACATTTTTGCTAGAGTTCCCGCTAATAATAATACACAGGATCTGTGTAAACAAAACCGTCCTCCGTTTCATTTGTATTTGTCTACAATAAAACAAGAAATTCTGATTTAAAAGCTTGGAAATCAGCGCATTTTACTCTATCCTGCATCGAATGACATACTGTATTAACAAGGGTGAATCCATGTCATTATTATTTAATAATTTGTTAAACGAATTTGTTCGTGTTTCGGATGTTTGTGTATTTTACAATAATAAAAACAGAGTTGGGGAAAGTTACGTTTAAAAGTAATGGATTGGAATATTTCGCTACTCTATTAAAAAGTAACTAATTGCATTACGTACTTACTCTTTATGAAAGGTAATGCGTTATCTGATTACGTAACTCGCAGTAATGTTTTACCCCCAACACTGATAAACAATTTCTAATGGTAACACCTTAGTTTGAGGACCAATTCTCACTATTAACTACAACTTTTGCCTCAATAAACTCCTAATTTCTGCTTATTAATAGTTAGTAAGGTATTGTTAAACTTAGGTATGATAGGATTAAGGGATCTAAAATATGGTCTTGCAGAATAAAGCATTAATATGTGACCCTGAACCACAAAACCAGTCTTAAGTAGCACGGGTATATTTGTAGCAATAGCCAACAATACATTGTATGGGTCAAAATTATAAATTTTTCTGTTATACCAAAAATCATTAGGATATTAGGTAAAGATCATGTTCCATGAAGATATTTTGTAAATTTCCTACCGTAAGGTAATGATATCAAAACTTACTTTTTGATTAGTAATATGCATTGCTAAGAACTTAATTTGGACAATATTTAGATTTTTTTGCACCCTCAAGATTCCAGATTTTCAAATAGTTGTATCTCGACCAAATATTGTCCAATCCTAATAAACCACACAGCAATGGAAAGCTTATTTAATTTCAATTAAATTTCATAATGCCAGTAATATGCATGTTTATAAACGACTACTTAATAGTGAGAATTGTTGCCTAAAGTGTTACCAAACTAATATTAGAACATATGTATTTAAACTAATAATAGAATAGCTAAAATGTAAACATGTATTTTGCAATAATGCACTTTATATGGAAGTCCATTGGGGCATGTACCAGGTTACATATTAAAGGGGTCATATGATGCGATTTCAATTTTTCCTTTCTCTTTGGAGTGTTTTAAAAAAAAAATGCACCCACAAGACTTAAACATTAGATATGTTGCTATAAGAGATGGGTAAACATACCAATACGATCTGGGCAAGATTATGCTGCATCTTTCAATCCATCATGACCATGTAACTTTTGCACGATGCATGAGGATACCAGAAAGTAATGAGAAAATAACTGGGGCCTCATTTATAAAATGTTGCGTATAAACTGTCCTAAATTTGTTCTAAAATCATTTCTCAAAAGTGCGTAAGTGCAATTCAGAGAAAACGTCTCGGGTTATGCATGTAACCATGGTTTCCCGAGAGGGAACGAGACGCTGCGCCCCCTAGGGGGCACGATGGGGAATGCAGTCTGCATGACCGGTGTCTGAAATAGAGGTTTGCGCGGGACTGTTTTTTAGTCCCGCTCCCGCAAGGTTCTATTCCGCACCCACCCGCTCCCGCTATATATTCACTCTTTGTTCACCCGCTGTCCGCTTAGAATAATTTTCTTCCAGACCCGACCGTTCCCGCTAAATTTAGATCTCGTTTCCAGAATCTCACATTTAAAT